AAAAAAAAAAACAGAACTATATGTTATCCTGTCTGTTATGCTCTGTTATTGACTTAAAATACGTCATCATTAAAATTTAGGCAACCTGCTCGATGACCTTCGTGACCTTAAATTTTACAATGTAACACGAGATTCCGAAATTGACCTTGTCTTACTGTCAGCGAATAAAAAGCAGGTGACTCTACAAAGCTTACATGGGCAAAAGAAGGTTTTCTCGTTTGAGCCCACAGATTCGGTTGAAGATTTTAAGAAGATGATTGCAACTGAAATGAAGATTCCATTAGAAAGACCTCATCGTCTTGTAGCTAATGGTAAGCATTTGTAAAGTTTTTGTCTTCTAAAGTTTTGTTGTTTCGTCTAACTTCAAGCTGCTTTTTTATAGGTGTAACACTTGAAGACGGTCATAAGCTTTCTGAGTATAACATCGTGGAGTATTCAACCATACAAATTTTCTAAAATGTTGTGGTGATTCCTGATGCAGTTGTTGTGCTACTGTAGCTATTTATGAAAAACGCTACTACTCGTAAACAGTTTTTCTCTCCCGTTTTTGGGGCTTAGTTTTTCGAAGTGTCGACAAATTTTCTTCTGTTATTCAAAACTTCTAAATGATTACTAATTGCCTGCTGATCGGTCTGCTTTAAGTGATTCTCAACTTTTTACCTGCATGAATGCATATTTAGTTTGCAGTAATCATAGCATTTAAGCACAATAAGTACATTGAAATATGGTTGAAATATTCACATTTTCAAGTAATTGAACACTTTCTAGAAACAATACTTCAAGCCAAGTCAATTTCGATACGAAAAACTAGGATTTTTTATTTATTTTTTATAATTGTAAAATTCTCGTTATAACAAATCTAAAACAAAAGAAACCAAATCAAATCAACCTTTTTAAATCATTAGTGATATAAAAAGTAACTTGCGCGACTACTGCGTCGTGTTTTAGCGAATTCAATGCTTATACGATTATTTCTTAAAATAAGTTATTTTTGGGTGTTTGTAAGACAGAGGAAAAGTTTTAACTATGCATTATGGGCATCCGTCAGTAAGGGCAAGGCTGACAAGCTCAAATCATCTATACAAGAATCTTTTACTATGTACATTTATAACACTTCTTCGAGTACTTTTGAAATGCTTTTATAATTAACGACTGGCAAATTTTGTTTCATGTTATCTCAACTCCTGCACACTGCCTTTGTTTAGGTGAACTTCTAAAATAATCTTAAAACGAGCAGACAGTCCTTAAGGTTGTGATGATGCAGTAAATTAGATATATGAACAATTTATATCACTTTTTGTGTCGCAAAGGCTGGTATTTTACTCTGCAAAATCTATTAAATTAAAAAAAAAACCACAACAGAATCTACAAAAA